ACTTCAGCAGTTTGATTCTCACTGGCTCAAGATTGACTCAGACTTCCATCCTTACAAGGTCAACAAAATCAGGACCCAAATTGTTGGGGGCAATATCCTGACTCTGTAAACCACTAAGAAAGGGCTGTAAAGCACTATGAAGCAGTATATAAGTTTAAATGCTATTGCTATTGCTATTATAACAATTCTTCAAACAAAAAGATGCAATTTTCTAGGTGGGGGAAAAGCCTGGGAAGCATTTCAGAAGGGACCCTTCCTCTAAAAGGCTAGGAAAAAGAAGTGAGAAATACTTTCTGTCTTATAAGATTCTATTTAACGACTAATGATTACTGATGGGAGCACTGTACTTAGAGAATGGTATAGGTCTTCTGCTTGATCAGGGGGCTGGACTAGAAGACATCCAAGTTTCTTTCAAGCTCTATTCTATTCTTCATCATTGTTTTATTTTTATTTATTTATTTGGTCAGTCTCTTTTTTCCAAGGCAACTCATTATACTACGTTTGTGTTAACTGATGGGAAGTGCAAATTGCTGGATTTGTTTTGATCCAGATCTTGCCAGTTATTCTTCGTCGGTAACTTGGCTAAAATGAAAAGTTATAATTACTGAGTTTTAATAAATGTTGCCCAGCTGTAATATATTATCTTTCACATAAGCAAAAGCTATGAGAGCAGAGGCAGTAATTCATGTTTACCTGTTTCTAATGGTTTTTCTTTCTTGTGGGGTTCTAGACAATCAGAGAAAGAGCAAAACATTATTTCTCTCATCTCCATAAAGTTATGTTAATATATTAACAATTCTTCAAATGGAAAGGTGCAATTTTCTAGATATATATTTTACATGCGACTTACCAGTTTTGTTTACATGCACAACTTTCTTTGGCACTTTGGCTAAAAGAAAAAGATTGAAACATTTTGATTATGACATAGATTGAAAACAAATTATCAATATTCCTTTAATGCCCATATGTTCCAGAGTAGTGCAAAAGACAAAATAAGAGTTCGCTTACCCATTTCTCTTGGCTTTTCTTTCTTGTATCGTTCTAGAAAGTAAGAGGAAACATGATGTCAACATTTGGGTGTTCATACTAAAGGGAAAAGTTTTTCCTCTGGCACAAAGACAGTGGTTTGTTCCTTCTCCTGCTATGTTCAGGGGTTGCAGCAATGTTCTATGCCAAGTTCAAAGTTACAGGAAGTGGCAGCAGAGGGAAGAGGAACAGGATGGGGGAAAGGAGTCACCCTTGGTTGGGGGCTTCTAATGGGGAACGGAATCTGGCAGGCAGAGGAGGACTACTTCATGGACAAGGACAATGGGTAGCGACAGTTATAGTAAGAGGTGGTCCTGGAATAAGTAATGTCTGCTAAAGCTATGAGGAAATTGCTGTGATGATATGTTTAAATGACCTTGGGAACAGGAGCAAGACCTGAAACCTAATCAGTGGTCTGATAAAAGGCAGCTTAGTCTGCCCATGGGGGAAAAGCCTGGGAAGCATTCCAGAAGGGATCCTCCCTCAAAAGAACTAAAAAGAAGAGGGGAGAAATACTTTCAGTCTAACAAGATTCTATTTAAGGGCTAATGATTACTGATGGGAGGACTGTACTTAGAGAATGGTATAGGGTCTCTTGTCTGGACTAGAAGACCTCCAAGGTCCCTTCAAGCTGTATTTTATTCTTTTATTCTAACACTCAATTTTGGTTTTCAGTTTTGGGTAGACCAGCTTTTCCTAAAAAGAAAGGATAAACTTTAAGTGTGGAAGTTCTAATATCTCTGATTGTCAAAATCAGGGCTTTTTTTTCTCATAGAACACCCAGAACCGAGTTCCAGCACCTTTTTTGGATGGAACCTTGTAGGGTAGGCAAGGCAGGTTGTATGACGTGTGTGAGTTCCGGCACCTTTTTTTTTTTTTTAAGAAAAAAAGCACTGGTCAAAATTAAATTAACTATGGAGAGTATTTATAACCAATTGAAATGGTCCTTTTATAAGTTTAGAGCCCAGAATGCTGGCAATACTAAAGAATCATTCTCCAGGCAACACAGAATGAAGAAGGTCTGACTCTGTTCTCTCATAGAAAATATCATTTTCTAGTTGGATAAGCTTCAGCTGGCCTTTTCAGCAAGCCAATCCTGAGAAAGAGGATCTCATACAAGGATATATCTTCAACAAGGGATAAGCAAATGATCTAGGAGACAGGGCAAGAGATGAGCCCTAGAAAACCATGAGTGGGCAAAAGGCACTGTATTATTCATCATTATTTGATTTTTTTGGTTGGTCTCTTTTTCATGGCAATCATGATTATAATAATTTTATGTTAACTGATGGGAAGTGTAAATTGCTAAATTTGTTTTGATCCAAATCTTATTAGATTCTTTTACATGGCTATCCTTTGTTGCCAGCTTGGCTAAAATGAAAATTAAAAGTACTGAGTTTTAATAAATGTTGCACAGTTGTACTATATTAATAGGTTTCGCATAAACAAAGATGGGGCAGTAATCCATGCTTACCTGTTTTTAATGGCTTTTCTTTCTTGTGGGGTTCTAGACAATAAGAGAAAGACCAAAATATTATTTCTGTATTTGGTTGTTCCTAAAAACAGTGGGTGATTCTCTATATTACACAGAATTGTCAGGCACAAGAAATCAGGAAGCAAGATGGTTCAAAGGCGGAC